TCATGCCAGAGATCTTCCGCCCAATTGTTGGGCGTTGATTCCCTTGTGGATTTCCCGTAAGATCTCGGGGATTTTGGACTCCTCTACGCATTTCAGGAGTGATATGAAGAATCTCCATCGATAGAGCTTCTGCTCGACTACTACATAAGAGCAGACTCGTCGTTTGGTCGCATTGACCTCTTTTTGGTCAGCGGGTAACTCTCCCTTTGTGAGATTATTAAATATTGGGGTCATCCAACACGAAATGTCCCCGATGGCTTTCACCTCGGGAGATGTAATGGGTTTTTCAATATTCCGACGAGAAAGGGATTCTTGGATAACGAATTTGTTCCCACCTTTTTCCTTTGTGCTCGCGAGTTTTAAGAGTATGTCGGTCCGCGTGTTCTGTTTGCAGGATATGTGTTTGATTTTTGCCCGGTCGAACTTATTCATCCTCTCTTTGACTAGGTTCAGGTATTCAATGAGGCTATCGTTCTTAGCCTGATATTCTCCTCAAACTTGAAATGCAACGAGTTGGAAGTCTGTGAATATTTGCACTTCTCGGGTGCCTAGGTCTTCGGCCAACCTTAATTCTGCGAGCAGGGCCTCGTACTCGGCCTGGTTGTTCGACGTGAGAAATGATGGGCGAGCGAATGTTCGATCACAATGCTCACCTCATTTTCGAGGAGGATTCCTGCTCCGCTTCCCGTCAAGCTGGATGCTCCGTCCACGAAGATGGTCCACTTGTGTTTCCCACCCGCAGGGGGTTCGAGGGTGGTCATATTTGCAACGAAGTCGGACAATGCTTAGGCTTTAAGGTTTTTCCTAATTTCGTACTGAACGTCAAACTCTCAAAGCTCTAGAGACCATTTCAGCATTCGACCGGCCATGTTTGGTCGACCTAGGAGATGTTTCATGGGTTGGTCTGTTCGTATGACGATTGTGTGGGCCAGAAAGTAATATCTGAGTCTCCTCGCCGTGTTGATGGGGGCTAAGGATAACTTTTCAATTTATTGATATCTGACCTCGGAGCCTTGTAACGCTTTGCTAGTAAAGTACACTGGTTTCTGCCCGTTTGGTGTCTCACATACGAGGGCCGCACTTACGGCCTCGGTGGAGACGGCCAGATAAAGGAACAAAGTTTCCCCGCTCTCTGGCCGTGATAACACAGGTGGTTGTGAAAGGGCTCGTTTGAGGTGGAGGAGAGCTTGCTCGCACTCCTCAGTATACTCGAACGTTACGCAAGAGTTTGAAGAACGGGAGTGTGTGTTGTGCGGACTTCGCCACGAAGCGGGATAGCGAGGTGAACATGTCGTTCAAGACTTGTATGTATTTTTTCGAGTTAGGAGTTGGGAGCTTAGAGAACGCCCTACATTTGTCGGAGTTGGCTTCAATTCCCCGTTCAATTAGATAGAAACCGTGAAATTTTCCCGCCTTGACCCCGAAGGTGCACTTCTTCGGGTTAAACCTCATATTGCATCGCCTTGCTTGGTCGAAAACTCTTTTGAGATGGGCAGCATGGTCGGTTTCCGCATGGGACTTGATGATCATGTCATCCATGTATACCTCGAGCATGTCCCCGATCTCACCGAGGAAGACTTTGTTCATCATCCGCTGGTATATTGCCCCTGCATTTTTTAGGCCAAAGGGCATCACGTTGTAGTAGCCATTGCCCGACCCGGACATGAAGGCAGTGCAATGTTTGTTGCTCATCGCCATGGGATTAGATTATACCCGAGTAGGCATCCATAAATGATAAAATTTTGTAGTCGGTCGAGATGTCGACCAGTATGTCGATATTAGGTAAAAGAAATGATCTTTGGGACATTGCCCGATTGAGATCAGTATAGTCAACACACATACGCCATTTTCCATTATTTTTCTTAACAGGTACAACATTTGAGAGCCAGGTTAAATATCGGGCCTCAGAAATAAAATTTGTCTCTAGAAGGTATTTTACAGCTTTCTCAGCAGCCTTCAATTTTTCGGGAGACTGCCTACGCCTACGTTGTACTACTGCCCAAGAGGCTGAATCCACAGTAAGTTGGTCACAAGCGACCTCAGGGTCAAGTTCGGGCATCTCCGCAGCGCTCAACGCGAACAGGTCAGAGTTCTCCCTCGAGTAGGCTTTGAGTTGCTTCCTCGCCAGGTCGGGGAGTCCAGCATCGATCTTCATGCCTTTGTTCGGGTCTTCATTGGGCAGCTCCTCAAGATAGAAGGTGATCGACTCAGATTTTCTCTTGAATCTTTCAAGGGTTACAGCCTGGATTGGGGCTGCATCCACCAGCTCGTTGAGTTTCCTCTTTGCTGAATTTACTAAGATGTCAGTGAATCCCCGCCAGATATGACCATGGCAGAGTTCTCCCATCTGCTATGGGTGAACAAAGACTCGTCATCTCAAGACTGTCAAGGATGTGGAAGTCTTCGGACCTTGAGACGCAGAAGGCTACCTGGAAGGACTAGAGTCATCAGATGATCGGACATCCTCCCCAATTTCTTTAACCTTGTGGGTGTCCCAGCGAGGGAACGTTGTTCTTCTTGTACTTCCCGAGTCTCCCTGCCTTGATGAGAGTCTCAATGGCATCCTTCAGGTGGACGTAGTCTTCGGTCAGGTGATCATGGCTCTGGTGATACTGACAGTATTTTATTATGACGACCCCAGGCTTTGCAGGGATGGGTTGAGGATGTCTGACCCCGCCGTCCTTAAACTCAACATTGGAGCACTCTACAAGGATACGCTCGCGGGAAATGGTCAGCGGGGTGTATTCAGTGAATCGCCCGACTGGTCCTCTGTGCTCGCGGGGGGGGGGGGGGGGGGGGGGGGGTTCTCTTCCCTTCTCGTATCCCTTGTTCGTCGAGAAGAGCTCGCGACATTGTGCCGCGGACTGTTAGTTGGTTCGTGGTTCCTCGAATTGCGGGCGTTGTTGGCGGCCTCTTTTTCCTCGTAGTCCATGCACACCCGGGCTTTTTTGAGAAGTGCATCAAAAGACATGGGGGGCTCAATGCCGACGACCTTTCTAAATTCAGTGTCCGGGAGGAGTACCCTCTTGAGCAAGTATCTCTTCATATGATCGACGCAGGGGATCTGAATGACCTCGCAGTTGAACTGATCAATGTATTCTCTAAGGGTCTCATCGCTCCTCTGAAAGATTGCCTCGAGGGAGGCCTCGGTCTTCGGGTGCTGACGATATGCAGTTAAGCTACTGATGAATTTGTTCTTCAGATCCTCCACGAGGTGATCGACTCGGGGGATAAACTCTTATACCAGTCCATGGTTGTTTTCCTCAGCATCGTCGGAAACAGACTACATTTAATGGGGGCCCCGACGTTGTGATTGTGAAGTATGGTTTCGAAGTCATCGATGTGGTCGACAGGGTCAGCAATGCCGTTGTATTCCTTCACAAGGGGAGGCTTCTCTATCCCTTTAGAAATAGGAGCCACCATGATGGCTTGGGACAGCGGACCGCAGGGATCGTCTTCCCGAACGAAGATCTCCTGATACGCAATCGGCTCGTAATTCTGCCAAGGATGGTGGGCGTCATCGTGTGGTTGTGAGCGGGTGGAGGAAGATGCTATCATCCCGTCCCGTGGGTCTTGCTCGGGGGCGACAACGTTGTATTTGTTGTTATCGGCGTCGATAAAGTGAACGTTCTGGTCATTGTTGATAACTTGGTCGGCCATGACAAAGGTTGAGAAAGTTGCTTTGATCTTCAATTAGTGAAAGATGGGGAAGCAAGTTCCCACAGACAGCGCCACTGATTGCACCTAATCAGAAGGGAACGTCAGGGCCCACGAGCTTTAAGTTAAGCAGCAGTTGAACGTGAATTAGGGGATACCTGCAAGATACGTTAATGTCAAAATAAGAGTCTAGACAATCAGAGTGCAAGTAACATAAGTGAGATAGAATGAGTGAATGAATGAATACCTGACCCTCTCGAGTGGGAGGGTTTATATATCCCCCAGCGTTGGGCCAAAGTCTTCAGTGTTGGACCACGATAAGGCTCAATAATAAAGACTGTCAGAATTTACGGGTATATGATGTCCAGCAAGTGGCCTCCTCCCTAATGAACTGCTCCGAGAAAAAAGAGAAGTTGGATATGTTATTCTCAGAGAACAGGATGATGACAATGTGGACACGTGGGTCATGCTCTTCTAGTGGACAAGTGAAAAAATGTCCAACGATCTTCAATTTGAACTGCATGCTTTTAGGCCTTCATAAAGGCGCTGGATTGAGCCTCCCCAACAGTGGGGCAAGTGTCGGCCCAGTCCAGAACAATTGTTAAAAGCAATTATGTTAAAATAAATTCATTGCAAACAAAAAGTAATGAAAGTAACCTATTATCAAATAAAAACAAAAAGTAATGAAAGTAACCCTTATTTTCCATATGCATGAATAAAAGCAAACACTCGCATGTCTTTTAACGGAGTTTTAGAGAGGGTGCTAAAAAGAGTGTTCAAATTTAATCTCAAAGAAACTATATCTTATATAAGTATTGGTATAACTAGATCATAGAATTAGAATCTAGGTTAAAAAATTAAATAGTATGGAAACTGAGGGCTGCTTGATTTGTTAGATAGAAACAAGTGCAATGCAGTCCTTACAGGACTGACCATACCATACTCTTGAATACATGTAATATATAAATACTATATTACAAGTCTCTGTCTTCTGGTAATATCTACTAGTATATAAGAGTAACTTTGTTCAAGCATAACAAAAATAATAGAAAGAAAACAATCCCAACTAGTTCAAGTATTTTTTGTAATCAAATGTCTGCAAATTTAAATATGTTTTGTTTCATCGTGTTTCACGTAGTTATGAGTCACGTCTATTACTGATTAATAAAATGTCTGCCAATTTAAACATGCTTTGTTTCATCTTGCTCAAACTTACAAACTATCTCAGTCCTTGCAATGTAATTCCTTGATAACAAAAATAGTAATAACTGTTATATACATAAACCATCTTATGGGACCATATTTTATTTCCCCGTCCTTACACTTTATGTCGCGATCCCTTGTTAGTCCTGCTTGACATCTACTCCTCCAGCTTTAACAGGTTCTATAGCCGGAACAGCTTCTGCTTCAACCTGGCAAATCATTTGGATTTTAAATTTCATGGCAGTTTCCAACATTAAAAGCATCAACATTTATTTCTAGGCATGTAATGATGCACATGCACGTATGTCAATGTAAACATTTTACATCACATTCATGACGCAGAACCAACTATTGAGGATCACTCAAACTCCAAAAAACACAAATACATGGATATGTGTGGATACTAGCAGCATGATCCTGTTGCTTAAACCAAATGTTTATGACTGAGATTTAACTAACAACTATGGCATGGATCATATTTCTCCCCTGACATAAGTATTCTAACAATTTGTATATGCGAACACCCTCCAAGAATGGCATATCATCCTATTAGGTTAACATATAACAATGTATTGAGAAAAATTGTGTTTAAAGGAATCCAAGTTACGTAGAACAGTAAACCTAGAGTATTTCATAACATAGAGTCTCCTCTGATAATAAATCTAGACTACTCTTCCAGGACAAAGCGTTTCGGTAATTAGAACAATAGACCTAAAATACTGTTCTTACTGGGTTTCAGAAACAATCTCAGCAGAAAGAAAATCTTAATATAATAATTAAGCAAAAAAAAAAAGTTTGATTAGCACAAGGGGAACTGCTTCTATGTGCAAGTAATCCACTTTAGACGAAAAAGTTAGACATCTCAACCGTTGATAAGAAAGCCAATAACAACAACAACAACCAAGTCTTATCCCACTAAGTGGGATCAGCTACGATAAGAAAACCAGCAATCAAATCAATATTAGATACATGTACAGATGCATAACAAATCAGAGAATTATTAAAACATACATAGTCTATGGACCTGACTGGAGCAATATGCACAAAAACAGCATTAAAACTCAACATCAATAGAGATATTCGCAAATCCCAAAACAGGTTCGGAGCTCAACAAACAAAAAGAGCATAACAAATTCAAAATCAATGGACGAATTAAAAAATCACAAGGCTCCAGATTACTTAAGAGTGAAGGATGGTGGGATTGGGTTCCCTAATCCCTTTGTTGAAATTGGATTCAACTTGATGGAGGTAGGTTTCAGCTCATTGGAGCCAGGTTCATTCACTTTGATGGCTTGTTTGGCTCATTGTAACCATGCAACAATGAGTTTGTTCATCTTCTCTAATTTGTGATTTCATTTATGCTTGGGAACAATGGGGGTTCATGCTGGGATGTATGTTAGATTAGATGCATTGGTGGAATCAGGTACTACAACAGCAAGGCTAATATTTTGTGCTCAACTGAGCCTTATTGTTCAACTGTTACATTTTGGGTTTTCAAAAAAAGTCCAAAACACTGTCATTCAGGGGAACTAACCACATTATATTGTAGACCCAAGCAATCGTCCCCAAACTCAGGATTTTGTTTGAGCCTGTAAGAGACTATCCATGTGTGGAAAAGAAAGTATTTTATCAGCTAGTTAACTTGATATTAATACCTATACCTAGAGTCGTAAATTCATGAGTCAATTAAAGAGTTTGAAAACCATGCCTTCCTATTTATACATTCTATGAGGCCACTGTGGGTTAAATAATTTGGAGATTAACTTGGCCTAAGAGTGGCTATGTGCTTTGAACATCGGAGTGGATTGTTTTCATGGATTAGTGTCATCTTTGATATCGACTTCTCACTTGTGCATTCTTTTAATTGATAATTCTTGAGCTGCTTCATTTTGGGTTTTATATTCATACATATATATACATACACATAAATAAAACAAGAAAATCAGAACACGGGCCCAAAAAAAAAGACCCAACACGTTTTTTTTTACAATCTTGCTTCTAAAAGCTCGATCTTGACCATGCTGACGACGAAAACGGTTTTTCTCTGATCGTAGCAGTCTCAGGCATCCTTAGCACATAAGATCTTACAATCAATTACAATTTGCAACCCAAGTTACTTTAATAAAACAGAAGTTCAGAAGTGGAGATGAAATTAGCTATACTGCTTAGACGAATACGCTTCATAGTCATTCATTTCATAGCTAAATAATATATTGATCATAATTTATTCAGAAATTCACTTACTTTACTCTCCGCTTTGGATGCAGGCTTATAAGGACATGATGGAGGGACAATCTCCGGTTTCCTAAACTCCCATCCTAAAAGCCGATATACTTTTCCCTGCAAATTACCCAAACTTCAAGATCAACAACTATCAAGAGAGAGCATCAAGAATGATTCAAATTTCACAACAAATTTTTCAAGATCATTGAACTCGCGGGTTAATAGGGTTAGTTAGAATTGATGATTTGCAACAAATTTAAAATCAGGTGAAAGAACAAGATTATTATGGTGAACGATAACAAAAAGCAGTTACCAGAACATAGTAGAAGAGAATCGGCAATACGTTCACGATCGGAACGAGGAAAAGGGGCAACAAGCAAAACAAGCAAACCTAAATCAGCAAAAGAAAATTATAAATTTTAGAATCGGAAAAATTAACCGATTAATCGAAAATCGGAAGATGAAATAGAGAAATACCATGATTGAATGAATAATCGATTGTGGTTGGAGATTTGGAGCTGATGCAGAGTCGCGAAGAAGAAGATGAGTAACGCGTTTCTGGAAAGCGATTAATGGTTCGGCTGAAATTTAAAATAATAATAATAATAATTAAAATAGAAAAAATAGTTAGATAACTGAAATTGAAAAATGTGGCCCATGCAGGTCTCGAACCTGCGACCTTCGCGTTATTAGCACGACGCTCTAACCAACTGAGCTAATGGGCCATTTGTTTATAGTACGTATCTTTCAGCTTACAACATGCACCACGTGTTATATCTCTATTGCTTTCATGCATTGATCGTTTGTATCCTTTTTCGTTAATCAAGTCAAAGACTCTTCGAATCTGCTAATGACTGGAATATTCATAGTAAAAAGTTGGTAAATTTCAACTGAGGTAATGGGCTTTATTTATATATTTTAATAGCTGCCACTGTTTCAACTCTTTTTACCAAAATTAATAATTAATTTAATTATACATTAAATAAAGCATAAGGACTCAATTACCTTCACGTATATTTTACATGGAAGCAACATTTATTAAAACTGAAATACTTCATAATAAAACTCTATTTTTTGGAATTCATTAATTAAAATAAATAAATATACTTGACGAAGATAATTTTAGCTTGACGATCTGATTCAATCTTAAATTTTGGTGGAATTCATTAATTTTCAACAAATTCGTACATTTTTTTTGTGAGAATGACACCTTCAATTTAATGATTTCAAAGAAGAAAATTGTTGTCTTAAGTTTAATTGAAAGTTTAAGGTCAAACGCATTGTTCTTGGATGAATTAGAGCTAAAGAATTGAGTAACAACATTCTAAGGAGTGGGAAGGGGATCTTGGTATTCTTTGCAAAGAAATGGTGAGTTCAACAATGGATGGAGCATGACATTCAACAATGTTGAGTGATTAGTGAGTTTTTCATCATTTTTAGCGATATGCTTTTAGTGTCTTTCTTAAATTCTTCAATTCTCTATGTTCGTTTTTATTAGAGAATTCTCATTTTTGTCTATGTTTTAGGTATTTCGAAAGTATAAGGTCAATTGTCGATGTTCAGAATAACAATCCAAGAAGAAAAGCAAGAGGGAAGGAGTTATGGTCAGCCCATAATTCTAAATTACGACTATAATTTCTCTCTCATCAAGATTTTATTTTTGAACTCTCATTGGAAATTATATCCTGAATGTAACGAGGAATTACAATCCACTAGGAGAATTACATTCTCTTCGTAACAAGTATGGTTTTTTCACGTTTCATCTTTCTTTTGTTGACTTTTGACTTTTTCACTTGTTTCTCTTCATGATTAAGGGACTTTAGTGTGAATTTATGTCTTAAGGCTTATATATTTGACTTGTAACTCGAAACAAAACACTAAATTTTTAGATATTTTTCATTTCCAATTCAAAGTTTTATATAATTCCATTCAGTAAGGTTTAAGTTTGTTATTGTTTTGTAAAGTCTCTGTAGAGCACTTGGTACAATTATTTTCACTACAATAGGTTTTTATTTAATTTTTATATAATTTATTTTCATGTTTAAAGTTTTTAAACGATGTTATACATGTTTTAGTTGTAAGCTATGAAACACAAATTTCGACATGTACACAGCGACATGATATAAATACGAATACTTTGATATCGATAATGTAAAAATATAAACACCGACACCACTATATATATATATATATATATATATATATATATATATAATATTTGAATTTTATTTATCCCTCTTTCATTAAAAGAATTAAAAATATTCTAATTAAAACTAATATTTTTAATTTTTTATTGATATTATTATTTTAAAATATGTTTAACCTATTAGAATAATAATGTAAGTGTGAATAAGTAGATAAATAGTCTCACATTAGATATGAATGTGGAGACTTGAACATATATAAGTAGGAGAACTCACTCACATATCACCTTAAAGTTTTAGGTGGACAAGTGGTATTTCTCTCACAAAGGTATCTAGTCCTACACTTTCATTATTATTCTAACATAAATGAATAAGATGTGATGAAACAAAAAGAACAATAATTTCTTGTTGAAAAACTTGTCTGAATTGTGTGACATGTGTTGTATGAGTGTCATACTTGTGTCCGACATTGATTCAACAGGTGTCGAAGCATATGAAAAAAGTTATTTTTTTAGCGACACTTGTCTGATTTTTCTGACACATGTCTGACTTTTTTGACACGTGTCGTACAGGAGTCATATAAGTGTCAGACACCGACACGTATCAGACACCGCGACACACCTACGTCTAGAGGTGTCCGTGCTTCATAGGTTGCAAGTATGTTTGAGTAGCTTTTCGTAAGATTAGGATAAGAATTATAAATCATAAATCTTATTTTTTAAAGAATTTATTTGTTAGAGCAAAATAAACTTTAAAACGATATTATTGACTGCCTTAGATAAACACTAGAACTTGGTACTGGAACTAATCTTTCAGAAACAATAATTCTTTTACATTACTTCCATATAATCGTGTGCTTGCATCATGTCATTGAGGATATGGGTGGACAGCGAGCCAATTGGACGGGTCCGGGCCCAAATTTGCCATCCAACCAAAATTATGGTTGAGATTATAAGGTCTATTTTCGCCCAAGTTTAAGATCATTTTTGTCGGGTTGGGTCTAATCGATTCACGGGTTAATATGATGGATTTTAACGGATTATTGGAATAATCATATTTTTAGGCCCAATTACTTTTTCAGCCCACTTAACCATCTTTTAAAAGATAATAGAATTATACCATATTTAATAGTTACATTCAAATTTCACTACATTTAAAATAAAATGATAATTACAAATTGAAAACAATTAAAGATACCTTCATTCGATAACATTTAAATATATTAAATTTCTAATCTATATTATCGTATTCCTTTTCATCTCTCATCCATTTTTAATTCTTCATATCAAAATGCATGTATACTCAATTATTGTAGAAGACACTTGCAAGTGAGTAAGAAGTGAGTAAGTAATATTCCAGCCAACAGTTTTAATCTAGAAAAATACCAACAAAATTTCTAAATTATAAAAGATCACATAGGTCAAAACATGGTGTGATAATTGTCATACAATTATAATATTTGTTCCTTTAGAATGGTAGTTGATATATAGTGTTTTAGATTGGGCCTACGCTTGGCCCAAACAGTATGTAAGGCCCAATTCAACCATGTTACAGGAGAAGGCCAGTAAGAATGAGGTTATCTTTGATTATGTCGGGCAGCAACTCCACCCTTGCACCGAGGACATGTCCCATGAGCCTTCCTCGCAATAAGGATGTCAAGGAGTATTAACGGCTCCCAGGAGATCTTAAACGACACCCTCTTCGTAGAGCAGCACCCCCGTCTCCGAATATCCTGAGTCATCTTGACCCCGAAAATACTGCAACCACGTCCTCCTGGTAATTCGGAGCAGTATGCTCAGCAAGGAGACCACATATTGGTCTCCACTACTCACGTGGATCCTAACAGTCTTCATTTCGAGCCTGCTCTGTTAATCCAATATGAGGACTTTGGCCCAACGCTGGGGTCTATAAATACCCTTTCACTTGAAAGGGTCAGGTATTCATTTATCTATACTTTCACATTCTACCTGCACTTTTTATGAACCTTACTTTGGTATCGGAGTGTCTTACAGGTATCCCCCCCCCCCCCACTTCACATTCAACCGCTGCCCGACTTGAAGCTTGTGGGCCTTGACGATCTCTTCTAATCAGGTACGATCAGTGGGGTCGACTTTGGGAATAAGGCTTCCCCGTCTATCATTCACGTAAGACCAAAGCAACACTTTCAACCTTCAGGTTTTCATGGTCGACCAAGCTATCAACAATGACCAGAATGTTCACTTCGCCGATGCGGGAAACAACAACAACGTTGTGTTGGTGTAAGCCCTAGAGGCCAATACTTTTGGTACTTGTATCGAATTATTTATTAATAATATTTCTTTATTATGTTTGCTTTCCAAAATAATAAAGTCCCTAGAATGGTTTATTTGTTTAATGAAATGTTAAGTGTGACTTAATCATGAGATCCCATTAAACATAAGACACTATTCTTAAAGTATCCGTAGTCAAGCTTTAATGTGAAGTGGGATAACATTAAAGCATTAAGATTATTATGAAGATAGATTGATGATCACATCTCATGGATCATAGATAAGGAGTTATCAAGTCTTGACATAGGTATGAATATTAGGAGTAATATTTATACTGGATTGACCCGCTATGAGAATACTACATAGAATGTTATGCAAAGTGTCATAAGTTATTCACATGATGATAATGGTGTATACCACCCTTCGATCTGAAACCAATATGGACCCTAGATGTAGAGTCAAGTACTTTATTGCTGATCAAACGTCATCCGTAACTGGATGACTATAAAGACGGTTGATGGGTACTTCACAAAGCATGCTAAGGGACATGAGTGACCTAGATGGAATTTGCTCATCCTGCATAACAGGATAAGTGTCTAAGGGCCCAATATTGAACTGGACAAGGGTGACACAGTGTATGCCTTGTGTTCAATATAGACATGAGGGCAAAAGGGTAATTGTACAACACAAATATTATCACGGAAAAGGTTTGGTCAGATCACATGACATTTTCGTGACTTGGGTAACAGTGATATGTTGCTAGATACCGCTCACTGTTTATTATATTAAATGTGTGATTTAATATAATTGCCAACGTCGCGAAAACCTACAGGGTCACACACATAAGGACAGGTTGATGAGAGATAGAATAAATAAGGAACACCGTAAGATACGGTGCACTTAAGTGTAATACGGAAAGTGGTAAGGTACCACGTGGATAAGTGATATATGGTACATCATAAGGTATGATGTCCATAAGCTTAATTGGGCTTTGAGCTTATAGCCTTATTTGGGCTTTTAGCTTGTAGCCCACACGAGTGATTCTATAAATAGATCCCTTGTGATGAAGTAATTTCACTTGATGCAATTTCGTTTTTGATTCTCTCTCTCACTCAAGGTTTCCGTTCGTGATCAGCTAGCACTGTGACCGGAAGCGATCTGTTCGTGTGGACTGAGTAGAGGCGTTGTTCTTCATCAACGCTCGTGATCACAACATCAAAGGTCTGAATCGCCACAAGAGGTAAATATTTCTATCATTGACCATGTTCATTCGTAAGGATCGCTAAAGGAAAATTTTAAATTTCACTGCGCTTTTGATCACAATTTTCCTTCAGTGGTATCAGAGCCACTTACGAAACCATGGATCTGATAGTTGTTTATGTTCTATATTTTTTGTTTTGATTCGATTAAGACCAGAATGAATTGAATAATAAACGAGTAATTAAATTTGGCATTTGTTGTGTACGATTTGGATGATTGATGTTGACTATGCTTCGGAATCCGACATTAGTATGGTGAAGCAGCGATACATCGATCGTCCATAGGTTACACAAATAAGATCGATCACATTTATATATGATATAAGTAAATCTGATGCAACGATGGTATATGGGATATACTGTTTCTGTTTCGTTCATTCAAA